TGAGGGTAACAGCGGGAGCTCCTGGAATTCGTCGGCTAAAAACGCACACGGTTCCTGTTGCACAGCAGTGTGAATATAGTTAACCCTACTGACCTGTACATTTTAAAGGATCAAGATGGTGAAGTTTGTGATATGGTTTTTACCACAGCTTAACAAAAGGGGGAGAGATGCACAGGGTTTTCCACGGCCCAGATGGGCACTGCGGAAGGTAGCTGTCGGGAGCCCCAGAGGATCCCTGCCCAGAGAACTGCCTGCCGTGGGGACACGCAAGCAGGAAGAGGCCAGCGCTTACTGCTTCTGGGGACGGGGACTGAGCCGAGTGGTGGCAGATCACCCGGAAAAGGAGCACCCACTTGAAGGGATAGACACGTACAGACTCCCCAGCAGAGGGGTCACTGTGGAACCTCAGACAGGGGTCACCCTAGGGCCTCGCTATGCCTGCCCCATGTGGTACCCACTAGTGGACAACTGCTGGCCCAGAGCTCCCCACTGGGTTGGCTACTACTTCCTCAGATTGCCACCACAGTCTGGGGCGTCCCCGTCCAATCCTGTTTCCTCCATCAGCTTTTACAGCCATTGCTCTGCACTGGTAACCAGGTCAGTGTCTGCTCCCAAGGGGATCCAAACAGTCACAACTGCAGAATTTCAGAACTGGTCTCCCCAAATCATGCCAAGTGCCGCGGGTTGAGCGAGTGTCTCTCTCTCTGGGATGTGTGAGCGCTTTTCACCCTTTTCCTTCAGCTCTGAAACACCAACACCTAATACGCCGTTTGTTACCCACGATTTCTGTATCCTGTTACGTATCGCACAAGCCAACTTTCGCTAAGTAACACTGTGGTGACAAAACCTAAAATCTCCGTGGCTTACCACGACAAAGGTTTGTTTATTTATTTATTTATTTATTTATTTATTTATTTATTCATTTTAAAGTTTATTGACTTATTTTGAGAGAGACAGAGACAGCGCAAGTGAGGGAGGGGCAGAGAGAGAGGGAGAGGGAGAATCCCAAGTAGGCTCCATGCTGCCAGCGTAGAGCTCTACATGGGGCCCAAACTCACAACCCCAAGATCAAGAGTCACACACACTACCAGCCGAGCCAGCCAGGTGCCCCAACAAAGGTTTATTTCTAACTGATTTTATAGGTTACCAGTCACTTCTAGATGTCTTCTCATAACGGAATCTGGGCTAAAGGAACGGCTTCTCTCCTTGATGTGCCTTTTTAACGGCAACGGGAAGAGAGCAAAAATGTGAGTGGACGTGTGCAATGCTCTGCAAGTTTCTGACACTCATATTTTATTAGCCAAAGCAAATCACATGGCCACACCTGACAATGAAGCATGGAAGTATATTCTTCCCACAGTCCCAAGGCAGCAGGCAAGGATATCTAATCCTCCTCTGAAGGGGCAAATATTTGAAAATACAGAAAGATGCCAGGGCTGAGGTCTCCAAGAGTTCTTGACCTTTCCTAGTTGTGCCAAAGTGGCTGCCACGGCTCCAAGAAACAGAGCTATTCCACACAGGAAGGAAAAGAAAGGGGGAAGGATAAGCAGGAAGAAATGCTGGCGGAGTCTGTCAATCTCTTTCTCTCTCTCTCTCTTTTTTAAGATTTTTATTTTTATTTAAAAAAAATTTTTTAAGTTTATTTATTTTGAGAGAGACAGAGACAGTACGAGTGGGGCAGGGGCAGAGAGAGGGAGAGAGAGAACCCCAAGCAGGCTCCGTGCTGCCAGCACAGAGCCCAAAGCAGGGCTCAAGCCCACGAAACCATGAGATCATGACCTGGGCCAAAATCAAGAGTCAGACGCTTAACCGACTGAGCCACCCAGGTGTCCTTAAAGGTTTTTAAGTAATCTCTGCACCCAGTGTGGGTCTCACACTCACAACCCCAAGATCAGGAGTCACACGCTCTACTGACTGAGCTAGCCAGGAGCCCAATGTCTCTTTGAAGAGTTGTTGTTATTGGGTTTTTTTTTTTTTGTTTTTTTTTTGCTTTTTTTTTCTTTTCTGGCAGGCTGCCTTAAAGACTTCCACTTACTTACGTTTCATTGGCCATTTGTCTGTGCAAGGAGAGCGAGGCTATGTTATTCAGCTACCACTCCCAATAGTGGGGTTTTGTGAGTAAGGAAGATAGTATGAATATTGGGTGCTCAGCTGGTGGTTTCTGCCATTCCAACAAGAGAGGTATCTAAAAGTTTTTGAAAGCTGCAAGACAGAATGAAACAAATTAACTAATGAAACTGAAAAAGAAGCCACAGTCTCGAATTTTCTGTGGTTGTTGCAGAGATGCTGGAAGCTGATCTACCTACTAGAACCCTGACATGTTTCTGGGCTCCGAGTCAGCAGCTGGGCTAGAAGACAGAAGCAAGAAGTGGGTTGAAAAGAGAGAGAACTCGTGAATGTCTTACATGGACAACTACCCTTCACACCATTTTTCCCATCACGACCCAGAAAGCCAGCACTCAGCATTTACTCCCATGCAAAACAAAACAAAACCCAAAGATACTAAACAAAATATTTCAGCCCTCTTTCTTTAAGCCTCTATTTGGAGGCCCCTGCAGCCTAACAGCCCCCTTCTCGCCCACTTTACCCAGAGCTCTGAATCCAAATCCTAGTTGGTAAAGATAACTGGCTTGAGAACAGACCACTGTGGAAGCCCACATCAGCTAGGCAGTCTTTCTGCCTTATATATGAGCAAACCGTTGGGGCTTACCAGGCAAATGAGGGGCTCTACTGCAGGATCAGATGCAATCTCAGCTGATGCCACACCCACAACCAAATGTTAAGTGAAAGTCTGTAGGCTGAACCATAGGCCCACCCCCAGCCCTCTTGTATCCATGCAACAAGAACAGGTTGCTATGAAAATGGAACATTCAGAGAACCACAGAGGAGTACTTATAAACTTAAAAACTCTGCCTATCACAAATATAAATATTAACACTGGGAAGAGGGTGGTAGACTGGGCAGTGCAAAGTAAAATCTTCATATTGAAGAGTTAAAAGATAATGTCAAAAGTCTTCCAAATAAGCAAATAGAGGTAACAACATATAATCTAGAGTTCTGAAGGTAGCCACAAGAAGAACTAAATAAAGAACCTGTTTGGAAGGAAAGGAAGGTAGGTAGGAAAGAAAGGAGGGAAGAAAGAAAAGAAAAAGAGGGAGGGAGGAAGGGAGGAAGGAAGGAAAGAAGGAAGGAAGGAAGGAAGGAAGGAAGGAAGGAAGGAAGGAAGGAAGGAAAAGGAAAGAAAACATTTTCTCTGAGTTTGGGATTCAAGGAGGGGAGGAAATGTGGAAGTCCATGACTTTCCCCTATAACCTGCTCTGTATTATTTGATCTGTTGCCAGTCACATGGACTTCTGTACCTATGCTTTCCGCAACACTATATTTTTAGATATATACACATTGAAACTGCTATATAGCATTGCAGTGTCTAAATATGCCATGTTTATTTATACAGACCCTTTAGATGACTATTTGAGTCATTTAAAATGTTTCAGTGTTAAGAACAATATTGGATCAAACAGTCTTGTATACATCCTTCTGTACAAGTCTGGAGGAGGGATACTCTGCACTGGAGGGAAGGAGTCTAACTTCACCAGGAAGCTGACAAATTGCTCTCCAGGGCATGTGCGCCAGCTCTCATCCATAAGAGATAAAAGGGCCAGTGTTCCACACCCTCACCAATTGTTTTTCAAGTCTCTTACATTCTGCCAGTCTGGTGGGTGTGAAATGACGTCTCACTGTGATGCTGCTTCCCAGATTATTAGAAGAGTTGAAGGTCTTCTCATGAGTTTGCTGGCAATACGGATTTCCTCTTCACTGAGGCTTGGCCTGCGTTTCTGTTTTGTTGTTTATCTTCCGCTAACTGGTAGGCATTCTTTACGAATTCTGGATACTAAGGCTTTGTGGGGCACATGTGTTGCAAGGTCTTCTCTCAGTCTATTTGTTTTTTAAATCTGTTTACTTTTTGCTCATTCATTTAACATACGTTTTAAGTGTAATCAAATACATCAACCTTTTTATGTTCATACTTACGTTGTGTTTATGAAATCCCCTCTTACCCTGAGGTCATCATTCTGTCTTCCTTAGGGCACAAAGTAACGCTTCAGTTAATACATGAATAAATACACGAATAAATAAAGTCTTTCCAGGTTGTTGGTCTCCAGGACATTACACGAATCCAATTTTTATTTTGTACAAGCACCTTGCTCATACAAGCAAATTTGTATTGCAAGATCAGACTTAAAGACAAATGTTAAAGGGGTTGTTACCATTTATCATAATGAAATCAAGCTGAAGCATGCCTTACTTTACACACACGGAAGTGTACAACCAGCGAGACTAACTAATTCTTCTTCACAAAAGACGCACTTGAGAAATGGGGTTTTAATATACAGCAATGTTTAGATTAGAAATCAGAAAAACAACCTTGTTAGTAAGGGCTACAGCAATACAACAGGGCACCTGGAACAGCCCATGTATTGAGAAAATTGTACTGAGCCTCTATTGTATGGCAGACCTGTAAGAAAAATTGTGGAACTTCTTTTTTAAAAAGGGTGGGGGGAGGGGGTGGCGCCCGGGTGGCTCAGTCGGTTAAGTGTGTGACTTTGACTCAGGTCATGAGTGTGAGCCCCTCATCGGGCTCTGTGCTGACAGCTCAGAGCCTGGCACCTGCTTCGGATTCTGTGTCTCCTCCTCCCTCTGCCCCTCCCACGCTCATGTCTCTGTCTCTCAATAATAAATAAGCATTAAAAAAAATTTATGGGGCGCCTGGGTGGCTCAGTCGGTTGAGCGTCCGACTTTGCTCAGGTCACGATCTCACGGTCCGTGAGTTCGAGCCCCGCATCAGGCTCTGTGCTGACAGCTCAGAGCCTGGAGCCTGCTTCAGATTCTGTGTCTCCCTCTCTCTCTGGCCCTCCCCCCGTTCATGCTCTGTCTCTCTCTGTCTCAAAAATAAATAAATGTTAAGAAAAAAAATTTAAAAAAATAAAAAATAAAAAAAATTTAATAAATAAACATTAAAAAACCCCTATGCAATCATTAGATCTGAAAGCCAGAGTCATTGCCATCAGTAGCACCAAGTCAACGGCTCTAACACGCATGCTTATCAACTGCATCCCACTGCTTTTCTCCTTAAGCCTTTGTCTTTCGTGTCCTTTCCATTCTCCGTGGCCCCATCAAGGCCTCCTCTCTCCACATCGAGTTTACAGAAACAGTCACCCAACTGGTCATCTTCCTTCCAGCTCGTTCTCCCATCCTCCCGTGCTGGACGAAACGTCCCCCGAACCTGGCTGTGACCAAGCCTTCCGCTCAAAATTTTCACCGCATCCTCGCCACACTTTGGATAAATATGCCATAGAAATGCGTACATTGTCCCTTTGATGAGTATTTAAGTCATTAAAAATTTTCCACTCTTACGAGCAATACCATTCGTAATGCAAACTTTCTTGCTGGGTATTCAGGGCCCTCCATATTCTGTCACCAATTAGCTTTCTTTATGTCCCATCGCATCCTATGTAAATCCTCTGCTTCCCCTGGGCTGATCTTCTGTTCTCCGCCTTTGTTCCTTCTCCTCCCCGGCTAAAGGATCCTGCCAAGGACAGCCCAAGACCCACTTCTTCCACTGATTGTTTACTGACTGTTCAGTGATTATTCCCACCTCACATTCCTAAAACACGTACCATCTGTGCCATGCAGTTGGCCCATGCTGTCTTGAAACGTTTTTATATATCTCCTGGTTCCCAAAGTAGATTAAAGCGATCTGTGGGCAGGAATGATGTGTCAGGGAGTCTTGGGCAGAAGGGAGGTCCCCGAAGCATCCAGCCCAGTTCCTTACAAGATTCAATAAGTATCTGCTGTCATTTAGCCCCAAATGTATTAAATTTTTCATAGTATATTCACCAACGCTAAAGAGAAAAGTCTTAATACTCTCCAGTAGGTTGGGTTATGCTTCCCAGATGAAAACGACTCATGGTAGAAAAAGACAAATGATTGATGCAAAGAAGTGTTTTTGAACATTAAGAAGAAATACAAGAGCGACCTAAAATCTCAGGAACTCCACATCTCTTTTTAAATGAAAGCATATTTGGGGTGCCCGGGTGGCTCAAGCGGTTGAGCGGCCGACCTTGGCTCAAGTCATGATGTCACGGCTTGTGGGTTCAAGCCCCGCATTGGGCTCTGTGCCGAAACTCAGAGGCTGGAGCCTGCTTTGGATTCTGTGTTTCCCTCTCTCTGCCCCTCCCTTGTTTGTTCTCTCTCTCTCTCTCTCTCAAAAATAAATAAGCATTTAAAACAAATTTTTTTAATGAATAAATGAAAGCATATTCATTACTGAAGAGTCACACGTTGTAAAACTCCCCGCAGAAGTTTACACGTTCCCCAGACACCCTTCTCTCAGGGGGTTGAAGACTCGGAGAAGAGAGGCCAGCATTGACGGTTACGCTGTGCTCAGCCAAGACCCACAGGTCTGCACACTGGGCTGCCCAAGTCGCCACCTCACGCGGGTACTCTTCTTGCCCCAGACAGACCAAGTGGAGAATAACCACCTACCACCCTCTACCTGTAATTTCGGGAAACTGCTGCTGTCGCCTTTCATCACTGGCTCCTTAAAAGCACTGCTTGCTGCAAATGCTTGAGGAATTAGCGAAAAGAGGTAAAGAAGAAACTACAAACCACCACCCAGGCATAACCACTAACACTCTTTTGGAGGTTTCACCAAAACTACACACACACACACACACACACACACACACACACACGCACACACACCACCCTGTGGGCTCCTGCCCCACAGGCAGTGAGAGGCTGTGTGGGTCAAGGTTATAAGCGTGGCCTCCGGAGCCTGACTCCAGGTCTGAAACCTGGTCCCACCGCTCACTGGCTCTGTAACCTGAACAAATTGCTTCCTGTGCACATTCTTTCACCTGCAAAATTAGAATCATAGCGTCTGCCTCATAGGGTTGCTAGGGGTTTAAGTGAGGTGATATATATGTCACGTCCGTACCAGCCAGATGCGTAGAAAACACCGGGCAGTTCTGAGTGATCATGATTGGACAAGTCCCCATCTTACCTTTGAACTTGACATTTTATCAGGGCTCTGTTGCCAAATCTTCTTTGAAAATATTGTCTTTATGGGGGCGTCTGGGTGTCTTAGTCGGTTAAGCGTCTGACTTCAGTTCAGGTCATGATCTCACAGTTCGTGAGTTTGAGCCCCATATCAGGTTCTCTGCTGTCAGCGTGGAGCCCGCTTCGGATCCTCTGTCCCCCTGTCTCTGCACCTTCCGCTTGCTTGGTCCCTCTCTCTCTCTCTCTCTCTCTCTCTCTCTCTCAAAAATAAATAAATAAATAAATAAATAGGTTTTTTTAAAAAAAGAAAATATTGTTTTTATGATTATATGTTTCTCTATCCTACTTTTAACCTGCCACTTTATCATGCCTATATGTTTTTAATATTCTTTTAAAAAATTATTTCTGAGGTCTGTATAACTAATACTCTATCTTCTAAATATGCCACATTCATCATTTTCTTCTATTGCGGGATGTTCAGGTTGTTTCCTATTTATCACTATGATATATAATACTGTGATAATAAAAACTTTAGTCACATCTCTGTTTGCTTTCTTGTGACTTCTAACATAGAATTTCTAGAAGGATAGGGGATAAGCATTGTTTAATGTTTATGTTACCAAACCGCCATCCAGAAAAAATACTCCAAGTTCACACCCATCAGTCCTGTGTGAGAACAGCCTCTATATCCATGATGGTGTTTTAGTGTTATCTCTTTTCTCTTTTTTTTGCTACTTGGGAAAAAGAAAAATTTTATGTCATTTAATTTTTATTTTGACAGCCAAACTTTTATGATTATAATGGTCAAGTGTATTTCCTCTTTCGGGAATATTCGATTCATGCCCCCATTCTTTTGCATTTGTTTGATTTCTTTTGGTTGAGTTGCAAAGAGGTTTTTCATATTAATTGGTAAGTGCTCCTTATACTAGCAATTTAATTTTCCTGTTACATTTTATTTTTTTCCAGTTTACTTTAGAGCTTACGGCTTTTATTTCCTCATTGACTCAGCACATAGTTATTGAGTGCCTGCTGTGCCAGACAATGTTGTAGGTGCTGGGGATTCAGCAGGGAGCACAGCCGGCTAAAATCTCTGTCCCTGGAGAGCTTACATGTTAGTGGGAGAGTGGAATTGTAATGCACAGAACCATCTAGTTCCTGGAATGCCTGCTCTAGAGTTTTATAAGCACCTGTAACTTCTTGGACACAACTGGCCTGTTAAGTCATCTTCTTTTCAGAAAACCATTGTACCTACATGAATACAGAGGAAGAGAGACCCCAGGGTCTCTTGATAGAGAAAATTAGATAATATTTTCAAACGCGTCTGACTGGAAGGGCACCCATAGACTTTCAGACGGGACTTGGGATATCAAGAGCACATCTAGTGTTGTTTCTTTTTCCTTTCACACACACACACACCTCGCTTACACATCCCACACTAGGGGGCAGGAGAAACAGAGGGGTGCGGGCACGGATGACGAGAATAGAAAAGCTTGCGGTCCTATCTGAGTTGGCTCAGGCTGTCACCACAAAGTGCCACAGAGCGGGTAGCTTATGAACAGCAGCACCCTCTTTCTCCCAGTTCCGAAGGCTGGAGGTCTCAGACCGGGATGCTAGCCTGGTCAGGTTCTGGGGAGAGCCTTCTTCCGGGTTGCAGACTGCTGACCGCTTGCCGTGGCCTCACACGGTGGGAAAAGGTTGAGCTGGCTCTCTGGCCTCTTCTTAAAAGGGCACTAATCCTATTCATGAGGGCTCACCCAAGTACCTCCCGGAGGCCTCACCTCCAAAACCCAGCACACTGGAGATTAGACTTTAACATGCGAATTTGGGGAGGCCATAACGAGGCTCCATAAGCAGAGGGGATTGTGCCAGGAAGGACTTTATGGAATGGTTGATGCACCAGCACCAAGTTTACAAGAGATTCCCATCCCTCAATGGATGCACAGGAGAGCTAGGGGACCCACAACAGGAGCAAAATGGCCTTCTCAGCAATCTGTGTGCACGTGTGACTCAAGCACCAGATGAACGACCACCCCTCCAAAGTGCCAACTCTTGGAGGGGTGCCCGGGTGGTGCAGTCAGTTGAGCGTCCAACTCTAGATTTGGGCTCAGGTCATGATCTCACGGTTCATGAGTTCGAGCCCCGCATCAGGCTCGTGCTCACAACGAGGAGCCTGTGTGGTATTCTCTCTCTTTTCTCTCTCTACCCCTCCTCCCCTGCTCTCTCTTTCTCTCTGTCTCTCCAAATGAATAAATAAACATTTTTTTTAAAAGTTTAAAAACCAAGTGTCAGCCCTTGGAAACAACTCCAGAGAAGCAGACAGAGAGAATCCTGAGTTAACTGAGGTTGTGCTTTGGGCGGCCGCAGAACAAGGCTGAAAATAAAAGTTGAATGGAGTTATAGAAAGGTCTATTTCTCATACCTCTGAAAGATCTCCCTGTGCTTTTAAGAGGGATCATGCAAAAAAAGAGATCATTGTTTCAACACTTAGACAAGAATTCCCACAGTTCTTAAGAAACCGAAAATGCAGATAGAAGGTTCTGTTACATTAGCATAATCTTAAATTCACTTTTGCAAAGGCAGTTCCAAAAACGGCCGCTCCGATACGTACAAGGTGGAGGTCATCAATCCCTCCTTCACCCTTGGCCCCTCGCAAGCAACACATACATAAACATCCCTACAGAGCCAGGACAAACACAACGGACCCCCAAAGTCGCCCAACGCAGATGAACAAGGTCCTCTTGAGGACAAAATCTCTAGATGGCCCTCCCCAGAAGACTCCTCCCTCACCCCCTCTCCTTGCCCGGCTCAGGCTTCCCTGCCGCCTCCACTTCTGTCCGCTGTCTCCACTCTTTGTCAAAAGCTGCCCTCTTTTTTTTCTTTTTCTATTTTTTTTTCAACGTTTATTTATTTTTGGGACAGAGAGAGACAGAGCATGAACGGGGGAGGGGCAGAGAGAGAGAGGGAGACACAGAATCGGAAACAGGCTCCAGGCTCTGAGCCATCAGCCCAGAGCCCGACGCGGGGCTCGAACTCCCGGACCGCGAGATCGTGACCTGGCTGAAGTCGGACGCTTAACCGACTGCGCCACCCAGGCGCCCCAAAGCTACCCTCTTATCAGACGCTGCCCTCTGTCACTCTCAGCTTACTCCTCAATAAAGCAGAGCTGGCTTGCTAGGAGGAAACGAGTAGAGGAAGATAGGTTCAGAAAAGATGTTCCGCATCACTAATCGTTAGGGAAATGCACACCAAAACCACGATGAGATAACACTTCGCACCCATTGGGATGACTACTTAAAAAGGGGGGGGGGGGGAGGGCTGGTGCGCAGGGAGGTTGGTGAGGACAGGGAGAAAGAGAAACCCGGGGTGGCGGGAACGTAAAATGGCACACAGCCGGTGTGGAAAATGGTGTGATGGCGCCTCAAAAATTTTTAAAAGGGGATTACCATACAATTCCCCAATTATACAGCTGGGGATACCCCCAAAAGAACTGAGGGCAAGGCCTCAAAGAGATGCTTGCACACCCATGACCACTATCACTGCGGCATCAGTCACAAAAACCAAAAGGCGGAAGCCACCCAAGTGTCCCCAGACGGATGAATGGGTAAAGATGTGGCCTCTTCATACAATGGGACATGATTCAGCGTGAGAAAGGAAGGAAATGCTGCCCCAGGCAACAATATGGCTGAATTCTGAGGCCATTGCGCTAAGTGAAATAAGCCGTCGTCGCAAAAGGACAAAGACCGTCCGATTCCACTCCCATGAGCTGCCTATAGTCAAAGTCATAGGGACAGAAAGGGCAAGGGTGATTGGCAGGGTCAGGGGGGAAGAGGGGAATGAGGCGCTCGCGCTTGAGGGGTCGAGAGCCTCAGTTGAGGCCAGGACAAAGCTCTGGAAGTGGATAGTGGTGGCCGTTGCACAGCGATACAAATGTACTTAATGGCACAGAACCGTGCGCTTCTAAACGGGGGTGGGGGGGGGGGGAGAATGCTGAGAAAAAGAACTTGGGGGAGGAGTGGGTGTCCGGTCAAATCGGACGGAAACAGGAACACTCAAGGACCGGCTTTACGCCCTGGAGAGCTGGAGTGAACTCCCCAGGCTGTAGGGCCAGGAGCGGGGAGGCGGCCCCACCGAGCTCTAGGGACTGGCCACCCAGAAGGATGTCTGCAGCTTATCTTAATCGCCACACCCTCCACGAAGCCCCCTTCTGATGTCCCCTAAATTCCGCCTGATCAACGGAGGCCACATGCCCTCCAAGCGGGCACCGGCTGGGGCTCAGGAGGGGAAACACATCTTACATTCTTTAGCCCAAGCACAGATCGACGTTCGGTCCGGGCGCAGACGCACGGTGCCTGCGGAATTAAAAGGTAACGGTGAGGGCTGGTGCCGCAGGGGGGGTGGGAAGCCTCGGGGCGAGGGGACACACGCGACGCTTGGGAAAGCCAGCCCTAAAGTTTGGGGCCTGACACACGCGGCCCCGTGCTCCGAGCCCACACCGCACTTGCTTCTTCTCTCACAGGCTCTACCGGGACCCCTTTGCCCAGTTCTGCCCGCGGGACCCAGGGCGGCGTCTGCTGGGGGCCGCTGGCACCCAGCGGCGCCCCGCACGCGGCCCGCCCGGACACACAGGGCGCGCCCCTCC